ATGCCAACCTGACACCTGGCACTGTTGGTTCCTTGAGAGCCAGGCTTCCATGCCAGGTGGGCTCCTCCAGCCACCACCCCCCACACACATATCCCAGCTGCCACCTTGCACACAGACTTAGGTACAGCTTACAGTTCAATGTCCCTGACCCCAACCAAGGTCCCCAGCCCTCGAGTATAAATGACAGGAACCCCCAGCAGCTGAAGTCTCTGTTTTCCCACATGGTCACCGTATTTGAACTTTCTACACTGACTGGTTGGCTGATTTCAGCTTTTTGAGACAGTGTCTTGTTAGTCCAATGCGCATGAGCTGATGGTAGCAATCCTCTACCCTTCCCAGCAGCTGAGCGCAGTCGCTCTGCAGCTCCTGGTTGGCCTGCGCAGTGCATAATTCACAGCTTCTATTTCCGAAGTATGGTAGATGAGAAATCGATGAGCATCTAACACACCCAGTGGTGCGCATGGCTGGGAACAGGGCCACTGATGGCCCTCTTGTGGACATGGCCAGCCCCACTCTGTGGAACTCTGGGCAGCAGATTGGTGCTCAGGAAGACACGATGCCCATGGCTGGGGACAGGATAAATCGCTACGGGCCGGTGGGCTGGGGTGCAGTGCCGTCGAGGTGGCAGTGTATGGAGGACGCACCCGTGGAGTCTCTTCCCAGCTAGAAAACCCCAACTAAGCTCCTAGAGATGCCTTTCTGGAGCTAGCCGAGCCCCTTGAGTACTCTACGTGCCTTAGGTAGTGCAACACTGTGGCTGCCAACAGCTTTATCCATTCACGTGTGGCCAATGACTTTGGTAAATCATTCAGTGAGCATTTATTGAGGGCCAATGTGTGCCCTCATGGGGCCAGAGCCTGATGACCTCAGAGAGGGGACAAAGGGCCACTGGTGCTGTGAGTGGATCCTGGCTCCCACCCTTTCCCGACTCCTCTTGCTGAGCATCCGGCAAAGACTCCTTAAGAAGTAAATTTGTGTCTTAAGTAGCAGAAGCTGGGCTGGGGCTCAGTGGCAGAGAGCTTGCTCAGCATGCAGCAAGCCCCGGGTTCAAATCCAACTCTGCCAGGGGGAGGAGGGAAGGAAGCAGAAACTGCTGGATAGGAGGTCAAAGGTGCAGGCAGCCCTGTGCCCACCCTCGGGGCTCTCCTTCCAGTGAGGAGGCAGCCTCACCCGGCCTCATCCAGCCTTAGGAAAGCTCGCACAGTGGGGGAAGCAGCATCTCTGCCTCAGCTTCCCTCCTGCCTGGCATTCGGTTACTGCTGGGCTTTGATTTAAGGTTCTTGCACCGTTCATGTCTTTCTGTGGATTAGACCAAGCCTGAATTGCAGGGATGCCAGCAACCTGGTGCAAAGCAGAGTGTAACCAACATTGCTTGCCCCTTCCCCTCATGCCCACTGCGGCTGTGACAATGGCCAGGGCCACTGGTGTCCACTGAGCCAGGCAGAGCCTGAGTAGGGGCAGCAGGGGCTCCCGGGAAACAGCTGGCACCACGCCTGGCACAGTGACCATGCAGGACCCAGGAGGAACTGGCCATGGCGACCACCACAGGGAAGTCCTCACCAGTGAGGATGTACGGGCCATGGAGTGGCCTCCTCCGCATGCAGGCATTTCCTGGACAGGGCTGTTTCTGCACACGAACAACCACAGTTGACCAGATTACCCTCCAGCCTGCAGTATCTGACTGATCAGAAGAATCTCCATAAGCTCCTCTGGTAAGCATTGTACCCATTGTGGAGCACACCTGTAATTCAGCACTTGGGAGGCTGAGGAAGGAGGATCACTTTGAGCTCCAGGCCAGCCTGAGCTACAGAGCAACATCCTGTCTCAAAAAAAAAAAGTATTGATTCAACTCAAAACTAGCCCAGCACAGTGGCACACGCCTCGGGAGGCTGAGGCAGGAGGGTCACCAGAGTTTGAGGCCATTTTGATCTCCATAGTGAGTCCAAGTCTACCCTGAACTACATAAGGAAACCCTGTCTCAAAACAAAAATCATTGAACTCAAAACTGACTGATGGCTGGGTTATGTGGCCCCCAACTGTCTCCCAGCTGAGGCAGGCTGATCTTGAGTTTGGGGCTAGTCCAGATAACTCAGCAAAACCTTGCCTCAAAAGCAAGAAGAAGCCTCACCTCCAAAGCGATGAGGAGGAATCCAGGTGGCAGAGGTGCACTTGGAGCAGCTCCTGTCCCAGGAGGGGCTCAGTCAGAGGGGCAGGAGCACCATAGGGTGGTGGTGATGCTGGTGAGGCACAGGTGATCAATGCTGCAGCGGAACCCAAATAAACGCTATCCATCAAAAAGGGAAGTGTGTCACCTCTGTGGGCTACAGCGAGGGGTAAGAAGGTTCCCATCCCCGGGGCCTGGAGAGCTCAGTGGTGGAGCACCTGCCTGGCAAGTGAGAGGCCATGAGTTTGATTCTTGATACCAAAACAAACAAACAGAAAAGCATGGGGAGAAGGCAGGGTCACTCAAGACCTTCCCAGGAACTTCCCCTGCTGTCCCCAAGTTGGTCCCCCAACCCTCTGGGGCTGCAGTGTGGGGGTGCAGATGGGGTCATCGGTCAACACCTTCTCACTGTCCGTAGGGAGGGGGATTTCCCAACTCCAGCCCTGGGAGGAACAGGCTGGAGACCCCTCTTGTCTCCTCCCAGAGGACCGAAACTTCCATTGGTGATGATGCATGGGAAAAGGAATAGAAACAGCCCGTTATTGGTTTTTTTTGAGCCACAATCTGGATATCAAGCTGGCCTTAAACTCACGGGGATCCACCTGCCTCAGCCTCCTGAGTGCTGGGGATTACAGGGTTTTAGACAGCGTTTCAGTTGGCCTCAAACTCACAGCAGTCCTCCTGTCTCAGACTCCTGAGTGCTGGGATGGCAGGTGTACACCACCACACCCAGCTCTGGAAATTTTTTAATGTAACTGATTACTGCTCTGTGAAACTTGGATGCTCTAGAATGGAAAAACAAATCCTTGGAGATGTGTTTTTATTTGGCCAGATCTGGATATCAAACCTTGTGTTGCTATAGTGGGCAGTGCCAGTGTTCCCAACGATGGAGTGTGTGTTTGTGGCATGTGAATGGAACTCGGGGTCTTCACTCTATGCTCCATCCCCGGTCCCTTTTTTATTTTTCACTTTGAGACAGGATCTTGCTAAGTCACTGAGTTGCCCAGACTGAGCTGGAACTCGTGATCCTTCTGTCTCATCCAGGACAGAGCATTTCCCCTGTGAAGTGAGCATCTCTTCATTTGTTTTGCTTTGCAGACTGATTTATTTCATTTCCTTAATATCCAAACAAGGCGAAACTATGTTTGTGTAAGGGGAGAACAAATGTAACAACTAGAAACTGGCCTTTGAGCCAGGCACTCTGGCGGAAGTCTGGAATCTCAGCAGTCCGGGAGGCTGAGGCAAGAGGGTTTCCAGTTCAGAAACAGCCCAGACAAACCTAGTGATTTAGCAAGACCCTGTCTCAAAATCAAACACTATCAAAAGGTTGGAGATCAAGCTTGGTGTGACAGCGCTGGGTTCCTGCTCTAATGTCACCAAAACAGGAAAAGAAAGCAAGTGGGCCCTCCCTGCAGCCAGCTGCTTGGTCCGGACCAGGTTTTCCCACCTGCCTGACCCTGGCTCCCTCATTCCCCGCCACCTCCCTGCTGCTCTGCGCTGTGGGACTGAGAGGCGCCCTCGTCCCACCTGGGCAGGCGGTGGCCCCAGCGTCCGGGTCAGCAAGCCTGGCACCCCGGAAGCTGGCCGCTGTGACCCCAGCAGCGGACCCGCGCCTCCTGGAGCGCTGGCCTTCACACCCAAGCCCCCAGTGCAGCCCGGGCAGGTGAGCGGCAGCCACGCACTGCAGCTGCCTGGCCTCCGGGGGGTGCAGCTGAGCTCTAAGCTGGGAGAAGCAGCCCAGCAGACACAGAGGGGAGGAGAGGCCAGCATGGCCTTGCATCCCTTGATCCCCGCACTGGGGAGGCTGAGGCAGGAGGATCTTGGAGAGTTCGAGGCCAACCTGGGCGACATAGTGAGTGCATGGCTTTACTCTCTCACCCCTCCGTGGTAGGCACGCAGTCCCCCTCCTGGTTAGCTGGGGCTGGCTGCATGGGTACAGGTGCAGCCTATAATCAGATGAGGCTCCTCCCTCAGCTTCCCTCCGTGCCACCTGGAGTGGCCATTCAACCTGCGATACCCAAGGGGCCCAGCTCGGCTGTCTCCCATCCAGGAAGGAAACGTTGGCCTTGTTAGGGGAGGACAGTGACTCATACAAGAAGACTGTGAGTCACACACACCACCACCTGCCCACACACTACCCAGTAGTTTAAGATAAGTTCTCAAAAACCCAGCATGGTGGTTTGCACCTATCATTCCAACACTTGGGGAGGCTGAAGCAGGAAGATCTCAAATTCAAGCCCCGCCTGGGGAATTTAACCCTGCCTCAACGTGAAAAAAAAGAAAAGAGCTCAAGGTGTAGTTCTGTGTGAAACCCTGGGTTCAAACCCCGGTACAAAGCGAAAGAAAGCTCCCTTGGTAGTGACCAGGTACCGGGAGAGAAGGCTGGACCTCAGCTCTTTCCAGAGCTCAGCAGTTATCGAAATCCCCATCGCTCTCCTGCATGCCTGGGCGTGGCTGAGCAGAGGCTGGTGTGATAAGAAAAACCTGCAGTAAACAGATTCCCTTCAAAGGAAGGGAGAAGCCAGGGCAGTGACCTCCATGCCATTCCCCGAGGAGTGACAGGCAGCCTTAGGCAAGTTAATGGTTGGCTTTTTGTCTTCCTCCTGCCCCATACAAGTTTTGGGCAGATAATGAAGCTGGCCTCAAAACTCCAAGAATCCTCCTATCTCAGCCTCCCAAGGGCTGAGATTACAGGCGTGGGTCACTATGCCTGCCTGGCTTCTGAGTTCTGTCCTTGATCTGACTTTCATTTTTTTGGTACGGGGGTCAAACTCACAACCTCGCGCTTGCCAGGCAGGCGCTTATGCCGCTGAGCTAAATCCCTGAGCCGCCCCTCCTTTTTTTTTTTGAGACAGGGTTTCACTCTGCACTCACTTTGTAGCTCAGTCTGGCCTCGAACCCACAGTGTCCCTCCTGCCTCAGCCTCCTAAATGCTGTGATCAAAGGTGTGCACCACCACACCCAGCTAGATGTTGACTTTCAACATCTAGAAATTTGTCCTTTTCTTTTGTTGGCTTCCTTCCCTCGTTTTTCAAACCTTTCTCCTTTCTCCCCTACAGTGGAGTACTACTCTACCATAAAGAAAAATATACTCATATATTTCTTTCTTAAACTCCTATCAAGGTGCTATTTCTCTACTGAGCTGGGTGCAGTGGAAATCACCTGTAATCACAGGGAGCTCAGAGCCAGCCCGTGTGACCTAGGGAGTTCAAGGCCAGCCTTGACCCTAAAACCAAAAACCAACCAACCAAAGATCCTATTTTTCTACTCTCACCTGATAGTTTGGTCTCTTATTTATTTTTATGCCTTTGAGCAGGGTCTTGCTTTGTATTCCAGGCTGACTTTGAGTTTGTGGGAATCTTCCTGCCTCAGCCTCCTGAATGCTGGGATGCTGGCAGAATATATCAATCATGAGTATCCTTTAGTTAAAATGGCCAGTTTGGTCAAGAGCAGGTGGGATTGGAGACCAGGATGTAGTTCAGGTAAGGCAAGCTGTGCCTTTTCCTCAGGCTCCTGGATTCCAGCCTGGTCTTGGGAGACCCTGCTGACTACTGATGATGCCCAGGACCCAGGTGCTGGCCTAGCAGCCAGGGATCCTTGGCTTTACCCCAAGGCAAAGCAGGACTGGTAGTAGGTGCCACCTGGGAACCTCTCATGGGGGCACAGGGCCAGGGTCCCAGTGGCTGAGCCACTTGTCCCTGGCTTGCCCTGGGCTGTCCCCGACATGGGCCCTAAATAATGAAGAGCTGGGGCATGGAGTTCCTGCTGTCTGAGAACATCACACGGGACCTGTGTACTTTGCAAGTCTAGGGATGATTTCTATGGTGCATGCGCGTGTGTGCTAGGGAAGAGACAAACGCTAGCCGAGCTGAACCCCACAATCTCGCTGTTCACAAGCCTTTTTATCTTTCCTGTCCTGGGGATTGAGCCCAAGCCTGTGCACTGAGCCACAACCACAGCCCTTCTTCACCTCTGACTGTGAGGTGTGGTCTCAGTGAGGTGCTCAGTGGCCCTGGTCTGCAGTCCTCCTGCCTCCGCCTCCCAAGAGTGGATGGCACTTACAGGGGCAGTCACTGAGTTTCTTATCAGGCCTCAGAAAGACACCGAAGGAGGACTCCACTCTGCTTTGGGAAGTGGCTGGCCACCTGCCCTCCCAACAATGCCAGCTGTGGGCAGTGCTTTCCCTGATGGTGGCGGGAGCCGTGGTGGGGCTCCGTCCTGGGGGCCCTGGCTCAGCGAGAGGCTCTCCATGCCCACTGCAGTGTCAGGTTCTCCTGATGAGCCACTGAGTCTTGTGTCACTTCCTGCTGCCTATCCCCACTCGAGTCTCCTGACCTGTCCTGGGTCATCAGAGGCTCTTGGTCACTCTTAGCATCCCAGATAAAGCCAGGTTGATGCCAGGCCCGAGCTCTGTGGCCTCCAAAGGAAACAGAGAACGTGGCACAGCTCCTCCTCCTTCGCAGAGCTCTTGACTATCATTCTTACTTTCTGTGTGGTCCTGGGGATTGAACCCAGGAGCTTTTCACAAAGCTACATTCCCAGCCCATTTTTATTTTTTATTTTGAGACAGGGTCTGATACAGTGCCCAGGCTGGGCTGGAACTTTCACTATCCCTGCCTCAGCTTCCCAGAGTGCTGGGATGACAGGTGTGAGCCATCACACCCAGCTCACACCCAAAATGGAAAACCAAACCCAAACCCCTCCCGCGGCAGAAGATGTTGAGAAGGTGCCTGTGGCCATTCTTGGTGAAATCATGGGACCCAAGCGTGAAGTTTCATAACGGGGGTTGGTGTGGACAGAGCAGCAGTGGATCAGCAGCCCTACAGGACTGTTTCCCTAAGACAATCAGCTTGCTCTGTCAATGGAAGACAAGCCGGTGAGAGCACAGATAGCCTGGCTTAGGAAACACTGATAGGATCGCCATTACCTATGCACACTTCCTCCAAGAAGATTCAGCACCACTACTTTCTGGTTTTCTTTGTTTTGTTTTGTTTGAGACAAGGTCTTGCTACGTAATCCAGGCTGGCCTTGCACTTGCAGGGCTCCTCCTGCCTCAGTTTCCCAAGTGCTGGGATGACAGGTATGTGCTACCACCAGCACCACACCAGCCCTGCCCACCAGCCTAGCCCAGGAAAGGGCTTCAGGAGGCCTCTCATGCGGCACACAAACACTGCAGGTTCTGGGACGTCTGTCTTCTCCCAGGAACACGGGACACAAAGCCCGTGGCGGGATTTTTCCCAAGCTGTGTCACTCTGGCCCCTCTGCACAAGTGCCAAACCTCAGGGTCCCATCACAGGGCTAGGTGGGCTGCTTACCCAACTTGCCCAGCCATGGCACACCTTGGCATCTCATGCTTCCATGTGATCAATCCGGGGACCAGTGCAAGGTTCTGAATTAGATCCATGATTATTGGCAAAAGCTGCTGGTTCCAATTCTCATTTCCATTTGCTGCATCCCAGCCAACCATTCCATTTGCGATTACCGGCTGGGCAAGGCGCCCAGACTTTGTAAAACTGAAAAGGAACTCCTTATAGAAAAGGAAAAATAAACCCAAGGAAACTAAATTTCAATTGTCAGCGTTCTCTTCGAGGTTCTTACCCTTCCGGGGCTTAAAAGGAGCGCAGTTTCCACCGGTGATGTTTGCCCCTGTGGTTAATTTCAGACCCATTTCACGGGCAGGGGCTTTTGTGTTGTGACAACATCTCAGAGCTTTGAGCACTGGCCTGACTCGTTCTTTTCTGCCACCAACATGTTTAATAAACACAGAAAAATGATTATGCAAATGACAGCCACACCAGACACCCAGAGGTGCCTCATTATTTTTGTTGATAATCTGGAAGTCCCAGGAGCAAGTGCAAACCCTAAACATAAGGCCCCCATCTGGAAGATGGAACTCAAAACACTAGTTCTCAAATGCAGCAAAGGGAGGGTCAGGTTTCTCCAATCCTAGGTAAGGTCCAAGCTGCCCAGAGTGGCGTCGAAAACCGCCCAGCAGGTGGACGAACCGCAAGCCAACCCAGAGAAAAGCTCCTGGGACCATTTCTAAGACGCCTGCTAGGTCACCCGGGAGCCACCGCTCCCCCGGGGTCCCCGAGCTGCAGGGGAGCCCGGTGCAGGCAGGCGGGGCCGAGAATTTCACTCTTTCCAGGTTTATTTTGGTCACACTCTCGCAGCCTTCCAGGCCAAGCACGGCACAGGTGACCGGGGGCGTCGCCAGCGCCAGCCCAGCCCCGCGGTGCGCGGACGCACGGCGACCTCGCGCTCCGGCCGAGCCAGGGGGCGACCCCCGAGTCCGGAAGCCGGTCCGGGCCCGGGCCCCTCCCTGCGCCCGCCCTGGACCGGGGAGGGGCCGGGAACTTTCCCGGGTGCCGCCCTGCCCTCCGCTTCTAAGCCCGGCGCGCGCGGTTCGGCCGCGCTTTCTCGCGAGCGGCGCGGGGAGCGGAGCTGCGCGCTGCGTCCCGGGCGCCGCCGAGGTCGGTGAGTTGGCGGGGCCGCGCGCGGAGGCGGGGGCGCGCACGGGGCGCGCGCGGAGCTCGCCGCGCTGCTGCGGCCTCGGGCGGGGCGCAGGGCAGCGGACCCGGGCGGCGACCCCGGAGACCGCGGGCGGCGGGCGGGTCCCCGGATGCTCGGAGCGCGCGGAGCTCGCGCTGCGGCGGTAAGGAGGACGACGATTGGGAGGACGGAGAGCCGGAGGAGGGGTCAGCCGGAGGAGGAGGAGTGCGGCGAGGACGGGTGGGGGCCGCGGGGAGGCGCGCGCGGGGCCGCGGTCCGAGGTCCCAGAGACCCGCCCCCGGGTCCCCGGATCCTTGGATCCCCGGATCCCCGACCCCGGATCCACGCCCCCGGGTCCCCAATCACAGTTTCTGACCTCAGACCCGGCTCGGCCGTGCGCTCGGGCGCCGCGGGTCATTCATTCGTGGCTGTACCTGGGGTCGTCTGGGCAGCGGTGCAGTCACAGGTGACACCGGCGAGCTGGCGAGGCGACCGGGACTCTACTGTTTATTTCTGCGTCCCCGGCCGCGCCCGCCCGTGCCCAAACGGCCCGAGGAGGGGACCGAGCCCGGCTGAGGCCGCGCGCGTCCCGCCCCGTGACCCTGTGCTTTTTACCTACTAGTCTTGCACTCCTGTCGCGCCCCTCGCCTGCCCTAAAGTGACCGCACATTCGCTAACACGCGTGCTGAGTCGGGGACGGAGCCCTGCGCACGTCCTCGGCCCCCTGGAGGTTTCCCGAGTCGGGTTTAACTTTTCCGTGCTTCGGTGTCCCTGCTGGTCCCTACCCCAGACTCCAGATCCCGGGGCCCTCGGGATTAATAAGCGGCCTGGAGCGAGGATGCGGCTGCAGGGAGGGCTCGTGGGGAGCACGGGACTCGGGGTTCCAGCGCCCGGGCCGTCACGCGCGGCGTCGCTGCCCGGGGACAAGGACCCGGGCTCACGGGTCCTGCTTGAAACCCGGTGAGATCCCGGACTCCTCAGGGGCGGGGAGCCAGCTCCAGGAAGTCCGTCCACGTGGACACCTGGGGAGGCCCGCCGCCCTGCCCGGACCCAGCCGGCCTGGCGTGGGGCGCAGGCCGGTCCGCAGTCGGCGGCTGCGCGGAGTCGCTGCGCGTCCGCCCGCCTGGGCGCAGGCTCCTCTGCAGCCCGCTCCGTGCTGCCGCTGCGGCGGCTTCGCAGCAGTCTCCGCTTAAGTCTTTTTTTCCCCTTGAGTCAATATTTAACTTGGTCTCCTTAGTTTCATTTTTAAGTCAGGCTGGTTGAACTAGGAACCGGAAGGAAACGCTTGGACACCTTTAGGCGCTGCTTCTGTTTCTCGGTCCCTCTCTTCCCCGGAATCTGGTAAAAGCCCTCAGAAATGTTTGGAAGACCCTTAGGTGACTGCTTAGGGGGCGGAGACGCTTGTTCCCTCAAATCTGTATCAGGTGCAGCTGGGAGACTCGGAGAAGTTTGTTGGTCAGGGGTCCAGGAGACCCCAGAGCCGCTAGGGGGTGACTGATGAGCTGTGCAACTTGGAGTGAGTTACCGTTCTTAAAAACTCTTCGGGATATTCGCGGGTCTTTAAAATTCAAGGCAAAATAGAAATAACCTTACATCCATTAAAACAAGCTAGGGAATACACAGGAGACTCTGCTGTAAATCGAAGCTAGGGTCCCCCCTCCCAGACGGGGCTCCTGCCCTGGGCCTTTGCACTGCCCTCCAGTGCCCATTCTTTTTTATTTTGAGAGAGGGTCTCAGAAAACCACTCAACGGGGCAGGCTGATCTTGAACTCACCTCACCTCTCAGAGTGCTGGGATCACAGGTGTACACCACCGTGCCCAGCTAGTTCTTAGTTTTTTTTCCTTTTGTTTTTTATTTTTAAGGAGCCGTTTCTAAGAATTCTAGAGTTTTCACCTGGAGTACCTTACTGACTTTTACTTTGTTCTATTATGGTGCAATCAAAGGCTAAACTTCTGGAATCAGAAACTTAGGCCTTCCTTTGTTCTTGAACACTTGGCATGTGGCTGTCTGGCACAGGCTGGGGCAGCAGGACTGGGAAAAGGCGGCCCAACCCCTGCCCTGTGACTGACAGCGCTGGGGGCACCAGCTTCCATTCTGATTACTGAGAGGGCTGGGGACCTTGGCGGGGGACAAGGACAGGATGGGGCCGCCCTGGCTGCCGCCTACAAATCGAATGGCTTTTCGATACTTTTCAAATCGAGGCTCGTAAATCCTCCTGGGGCTGAATAATGCAATAATGTCTTGCTTTTTGCAATAAAAGTATTAGAGACAAATTTAGCCCCCAAGTTTTCAAGGTTCCAGATCATCCTCGATTAAATGAGATCTGGAGGGTTGGTGTAAGGCATCCAAGGTTTATTTACTTGGAGCACAGCAGTCTGGTAATCCTCTAAGCAGATTACTGGTGTGGGCTGCTGTTTATTAGCTTTCCTCCTACTGTGAGATCCTTATAGAAACTGTAAATGTGTAGGGAGAGCGGCCGGTCCTGGGAGTGCCTACTGTGCTGAGTGGTGTGTGTTTAGTTCCTTGTGGGCAGACCCCAGCTGGCAGCTGCACCCCACTGCCACATCTGTCCCCACACCGGGCTGGACAGGAGGTGCGCTTGTGAGGCGAGGCAGAAGTGAATTCACTTGGCTCGAGTTGCACAACTGGAAAGTGGCTTGGTTCCCGGCCCCGTTTCCTAGCCTGATACTCTCACGATGCCGGAGCCGCCTTTTTATGTGTGTGCTTATTTGCTTGTTTTGGTTTCTTTGAGACAAGGTCTTACGGTGTAGTCCACACTGGCCTTGAACTCACAACACTATTTCTTTCTTTTGCCTTTTCGAGACAGGATCTCGATATGCAGTTCAGGTTGGCCTTGAGCTCACTTAGTAACCCAGGCTGGCCTCAAAATTACAATGTTCTTCCTGTCAGCCCCCTGAGTGCTGGATTCATAGCAGCGTGTGCCACCACACCTGGTTCATCCATAGCTTTCCATTCCTTGGCTGCAAATTCACTCAGCGCTTACTTGTGTCCACCTTTTGCAGCTCTGCTTTAAATATCTTCCTAGCCGTATCTATATAGCCAGAATTATTTTAGTTATTTTGCGTCTTAAAAAGTGAAATTTAAGTGTTGGGGATGTAACTCAGTGGTACAGCACCTGCCTGGGAAGCACAGGGTCCTGAGTTTGATTCCTGGCACACACACACACACACAAAAAGTGAAATTGAGCCATACATGGTGGGACATACATGATTGCTATGAATTCGAGGTCAGCCCAACTAGTATAGAAAGACCTTGTCTCAAAAAAAAGAAACAAAGAAATTTAGTTGCCTTTAAAAAACCATTCAAAATTTGCGAATTTGTTCCTTTGTTGTTTTGTTTTTTTAAACATTTTAATTTATTTAGTTTTTGGTACTGAGGGTTGAACTCATGACCTCTCACTTGGGGGGCAGGCGCTTATGCTGTAAGCTAAAACCTCAGCCCTTTTATTTTGTTTTTTGCCATACTGGGGATTGAACCCAGGACCTCGCACATACTAGACAAGCATTCTACTGCTGAAGCTGTGTCTCCCAGCCGTTTGTTACTTATTTTTATTTTGAGACAAGGTCTCATTATGTGGCCCAGGCTGGCTTTGAATTCAAGGTGAGCCTCCTGCCTCGGCCTCCCTAGGGCTGGGATTACAGGTGTGTGCCATGCCTGGCTCCTAGCCCCCACAACTCTTTTTGGTCTTTTTGAGAGAGGGTCTCACTATGCAGTTCAGGCTGGCTTTGAGCTCACTTTGTAACTCAGGCTGGTCTTGAACTTGAAATGATCCTCCTGCCTCAGCTTCCTAAGTGCTGGGATTACAAGTGTGTGCCACCGTACCCAGCTTCTCAATCCCTTTTTAAAAATTTTTTTTAAAAATTTTGAGACAGAGTTTACACAGGGGCCCAAAATGACCTTGAGCTTGAAATCCTCTTGTCTCAGCCTCTAGAATGGCTGGGGTTACAGGTGTACGCCATAGTGCCTGGCATCTCTCTTTTTCACAAGTGTCACGGAGCTGAGCACAAGCTTTGAGGCGTGGCCCCAGGCCTCTCTTTCTCTTTGTGACTGAAGTGAGAATTCCATCTTCCTGACTCCCCCACGGATGGTGTGGTGGAGGGTAGCTGTGCTTTCTCTGCAGCTGTGCGGGTTTTGTGCTGGCTGCAAAGCTGAACCCCTCTGTGGGCAGGACTGTGGCAGGAGCTGGGCGCCTCTGGCCAGGCTGTCCTGGCAGAACAGCGTCAGCGAGGTTTCCTTTCGTTCCATCAGTTTAAGAACCACGAATGAGGCACTTTCTCCTGGCACCTGTCCCACTCCCGGAAATTGTTAAGCGTGGGAGAAACCTGCCTGCCTCGGCCCTGCGGGGCCCGAGGTGTCCACCAGGGTCATAGTGCATTGGAATTGAATATTTCCCAGTGGATCACTTTGCTTTCACTTTGAAAAGTTTGTCTGCTTTATTTGTTTTCTCGTTTTTTTTTTTTTGTTTTTTTTTGTTTTTTTGTTTTGTTTTGTTTTGTTTTGTTTTGTTTTTTGAGACAGGGCCTTGCTGTGTAGTTCAGGCCAGGCCAGCCTTGAATGCACTCTATACATTCAAGGCTGACCTTGAACTCATAGTGATCCTCCTGCCTCAGCCTCCCAAGTGCTGGGAAGACAGGTGTGACTAGTTTATTTATGATTTATTCTTTTTTCTTCATGTTTAGTAGTACATATTGGCAAGGCAGATAAATGAGCTTTGTTTTGGCAGATTTTTGCATGCGTGTAATGTACTGTAAAGATTTCCTGCCTATTCATGAGGACTGAAGCAGCCGGGCAGGGTGGGTACAGGCCTGTAATCCCAGCACTCTGGGAGGCTGAGGCAGGAGGATGGCAAGTTCAGGACCTCCCTGGGCCTCTGAACTATTTAGCTAGACGCTGTCTCAGTAAAAAAAGTGAGAAAACCATCAAAGAGGGCAGAAGACAGGGCTGGTCCTAGGCCCTGCATTCAGTCCCCCACGGCATGAAATAAAACAAGAACTGAGCTGCAGATGGGGCTGGGTGCACCGGTTAGGCCGTATGCCCCAACCATGAGGTGATGCCCCTCTGCCAGTCTGGGGAACTTTGTGGGAAATGGGGTCTACTGTGGCCTTGAGGAACTGGCCTGAGGGGACAGGTGGCAGCTCATTCTCACAGCCCTGGGTGTTGCCCAGGGTCAGAACTCTGCTCCTGCCTGCCTCACTTTTCATAGCTGGTCCCTGTACAGCCAGAATGGCTCGTGTTAGGGCAAGGAAGAGCATTGAGAAGAGCAAGAGGGTTCAGGGCAGTGCCAGTGAGCCTTCCAGAACCTTCCAGAACCTTCTAGAGCCTTCCAGACCCTTCAGTGGTGACAGATAGCCTGCTGTGGGCCATAGTTTTGCCCCCACACATTTAGAACACGAACCTCCTAGGTATTTGGGGCCACAGAGCGACACTGTACACAGTATCCCCTGACACCAGAGCATGTGGCTGGTGTGGCTGCCTGGCATCTCCTCAGGGCAGGTGAGGCAGTTCGGTGAAACAGGAAGGTGAAGTCACGCTGGATGCTAGCAGATAAGTACTAGTGCTAGGTACTATGAGACAGGTACTAGTGCCAGGTACCATGGGATAGGCCCTAGTGCTCGGTCTGGTGATGTAGCTCAGTGCAAAGGCCCTGGGTGCAGCAGAGCAGGCCCAGTCCCTCCTGGTTGCCCGTCTGACCAGCTTTGGGGCTGCAGTGGAAGCGTCTCAGCTCAGGGTTGCTGTCCGTAGCTCACATCGTCCCAGGAGCTACACTGGCTGAGGGATGCCAGCGCCTGCTCGTTGCCTGGTGGCTTTGAGCGGCTTCCTGGGGTGAGCCTCAGTTTCCCGCTGGAGAGTGTTGGAGTCACTGCTTGCTTCATGGGTGAATCATGAGAGGGATGTAACCTGATGTGGGGCAGATGTGGCTATCAGCCTGGCCTAATGGCACATGCGGACTGCAGCACAGCACTCCTGGAGGCTGAGGCAGGAGGGTCACGAGTTCAGGTGCACCCTGGGCAGCATAGTGAGACCTTATTTTAAAATAAAAATGAGAAAAGAGCTGAGGATGGACTCAGTGCAAAGGTCCTGAGTTCTACACGTTCATGAAGGAGCTGGGCACGTGTGTCTTGCTGCTGGGGACACTAGGTCCCCAAAAGGAGGCAGAAGGACACTAGCCTAACCTT